AGCCTGTATCCCATGGCAGTGTCCTGCATCAGTCCAGCTGAAGACTTAGAGCCCATAGCAGTGCCCCCTACAAGTCCCTCTGGAGGCCTAAAGCCCACAACAAGGTGTTATGCCAGCCTGTGTCAAGGATCTGCACTGGTAAGGCCCAGAGTCCAATGGTAGAATCTAGAAAGCCTGTGCCAGCAGATGAAGGATCTGTGCTAGCAGGCTGAGGGATTTGAGGGATCTGCACTGGAGCCTGGAAGTGACGTTCACAGTAAGGACTAGAGCATCCCCAAAGTGAACCATTGCCATCCTCAGCGGCAAGGTCCCAACCTCCTTCAACAATGGGAACAGCAGAGTTTATCAGGAAAGCCAGCAGAACAGGCTCTTCTACAAGGATTAAGAGCTCTTTAACAGCTACTCTCCTTCTCTAGTTCTGACCTTACGCTACAGCAACAGTCCTCAGGTGGGCCTCCCACACCCAGCACAAGTTCATTTCTGCTGGGTGTTGCAGGTTGACCACCAGTTGGCACTCCACTGCACAGGCCCCAGCCGTAGCTGAAAGAAAGCAGGAGTTTCTGCATTCCAATTGGCCCACAAGGCAAAGGGAGCACTGCCTCCAACAGACCATAGTCTCGATATTATGCTTTATGGTCTCCAACAAGATTTGTTGACATTAATCTTAGTAATTACTTTTTAAATTATTTTACCATGGCTTTTTCATATTGTAAAGTTTATACGTAGTAAAACAATACAGAAAAATTTTAAATCAATATAATAATATAAAGTAGAAATTAATTTATAATAAAATAATATGAATTTCTGTCTGAATGATCACCTATGGTGGCGGAAGGCTGAATGAAGTAGCATTATGTTTGCACTCAGTTATGTGGATGTGAAGTCGGAACTCATTTGTTGCTAATACATAAAATGTTAAAATCTAGTCGTAAAGGTCAGACCTTTAAAATATACCAGGAGTAGTAGAAACTACTTTAAAGTAAATTTGAAGTAAAAACCAATGCAAATTGTAGACTAAAGTGTGAAGGAAAAGAGAAAGCATGGTAGTCTTTCAGGTTTGTTGGCTCTATGGAGAAAGAAATTCTTCATTTAAATAGTAGAGAAATACCACAGAAGACACAAAAACAACCCCATGCATCTTCATCCAGATGGTCCTTGAAGAGAAGGCGTAAAGTTGGTGCTGGAGAAAAGCCTGTTTAGCAAAAGTCATGGGAAAATTGGCTGTCCATGTGCAGAGGAGCAAAATTGGCCCCGTTGCTCCCACCCTGCACTGTCATCCGATGGATCATAGACTAGATATAAAAACAGAAACTCTGAAACTGCTAGAAGAGAAAATGGGAGAAACACATGACACTACAGACATCAGCAAAGACTTCCTGAGTAGAAATTGAGTAGCCCAGGAAGTGACATAAACAATCAACAGAAGGACTATGTCAAATTTTAAAAAATTCTGTGCAGCAAAGCAGAGAATCAGCAGAAGATACAACCTCCAAAATGGGGAAAAAAGTTTGCCAGCTATTCTTCTGATAGAGGACTAATATCTAGACATCAGAAGATGAGCCCTAAAACCAAATGGGCCAATTAAAAACAATGGAAAAATGAACTGAATAGATATTTTTCATAACAAGAAATGCAAATGGCCAAAAATACATGAAAAAAAGTGGCCAGCATCTTTAGCTACTAGGGAGCTACAAACCAAACCAAGCCTGAGATTCCAGTCAGAATGGCCATCATCAAGAGACAAAAGCAGCGAGTGCAGGTGAGGGCTTGGGAGGAAGGAGCCTTTGTACACTGCTGGTGGGATGGAAACGAGAACAACCATTATGAGAATCAGAGTGAAGATGGCTCAAAAAATGAAATATAAACCGAGTGTGGTGGTGCACACGTGTGATCCCAGCACTCAGGAGGCTGAGGCAGGAATAGCGCTGTGAGCTCAAGACCAGCCTGGGCTACCAGGTGAACTCAAGGCTGGCCTGAACTGCATAGTGTGACTGTCCCAAAAACAAAACAGAAATTTCACTGAACCCAGCTCTACCTCTCCTGGATGTTTTCTGGAAAGTTAAAGATGTCATACTGTAATGGCACATGCATACACCCCTGTTTACAGTAGCATAATTCATAATAGCTAAACTATGAAACAACCTGGACTTACGCACACAGATAGGGGAAATGTATATGCACAATGGAAAATGATCAGCCATTAATACGGAGGAATTTGAGTGATTTGTAGAAAAAATAATAGACCTGAAGAACATAATGTGAAGTGGTATAAGTCAGAGAAGGTTAAATCGCCTTTGATTTTGAGAAGGCCAAAATATGAATAAATTAAAGAATAAAATAAAGGCCAGATGATAGAAAATAAGAGGTTGACTTTTTGGAGATAAGAGGATTGGGGAAGGGGGCCAGGGAGATAGCTCAGTGGAATAAGTGCTTGCCTGGCAACTGCAAGGGCCTGAGTTCAATCCCTGGTTCTTTTTTTTTTTTTTTTTTATTTTTTTTTTTTAATTTATTTGTGTGTGTGTGTGTGTGTGTGTGTGTGGCCAGCTCAGCCCACCAGGGGGCGGGCTGGCTGGCATGTGGTGCTGGGGGATTGAACCATGGTCCCTGGGCTTCCCTAAGCTTGTTCCAAGTAGGTGCTTTAGACCACTGAGCCATCTCACCAGCCCCAATCCCTGGTTCTGAGAACAAAAAAAAAAAAAAGTTAGAAAAGAGGATTGGGGAAGCGAAGAGAGGGGAAGGCAGAGGTAAGGGACAACAAAGACCAGCAGGTGTGCGCGCACACTATGCTTTCATACCAGCTGTACTATTAACTAAAACAGGTTCTCTATGTGTTTTCTATATGTATATATATTCCTCAAAATGAATGTAATTATTATGCATCTCAAACATACCAATAAAAAATTAAAAGTTAAAAAAACATAGAACATAGCTTTTATTTTGAAATGCGAACATATCAAATCAGATATGTAAGTTTCAAACATGTTAGTTGTTAGAAACAGCACCCTTTCATTGATAATGGACTTGAAGGTGAGATGACTCTGTGTGTGTGTGTGTGTGTGTGTGTGTGTGTGTGTGTGTGTTGTGCTGAGGATTGAACACAACTCCTTGGGCTTGCCAGGCAAACATAGCTGCACCTCCAGCTGAGAAAGGCTTTTTTAAAACAGGGATTCATATGACCTTAGAGCCAGTATCAAAGTATGCTTGACAAAATAATAGGCAACTTAAAAAATGAAAAATTTCAGTTAGTAGTTCCTTATGTATATATATATATATATATATATATATATATATATACTATATATGATATGAAGTATTTCTAGAACAACAAATGAAATTTGACGTGCCTTCATTTCATTTCTACAATTTAATGTCTGAAACTAAGTCTGTTATAAAAGGATTCATATATCATGTTACATATTTAAAATTTATTTCATTGCTTTTGTACTAACTGCACTATTAAACATTTTTAAATAAATGCATAGTTTGAAATATGAGAATAAGTAAGATAGTTTCTTTCCAAAAGAATGGGAATAAAAGTCATAACTTGAGTTGGAGGCTTTTTAAACTATATTGCTCACCATCAGATAGCTTTCTTAAGCTCACTTCTCTGGGTTTTGTTTCAGATGGAATAGTCTTGTCTATAATGGAACTTTATAAATGCCTCTTTTGAAAATGGGATTCTGTTCTTCCTACTTCATAATTGCAATTCAAGTTAAGTATAACTACCCTTCGGTAACTGTGGAAGATCGATTCTAGGACCTCCAGGGATATTGGAATTGCAGATGCATGCAGGTCTCCTATAAGAATATAGTATATGCATATACGTACATTCTCCATTACAGGTACTGCCCTCGTTGACAGATAATGCCTAACAGAATGTAAATGTTGTGTAAATTGTTTCTAGGCTGTACTTAAGGGATAACAAGGGAAAAGGTGCATTCAGTATAAATGGAATTTTTTTTCAGTAGGTTTTTTTTTTTTTTTTATGTATTTAGTACAGGATCTACAGGGTCTCACTACATATATCGGATTCGTAGTGATCCTTCTGTTTTTCAGCCTCCCAAGTGCTGGGATTACAGGCGTGCGCCACCATGCCCAATCTCAGTGGCTGTCTCATGGTGCCCTGGGGGTGGGGCCAGCACGGCATACTGGGAATTGAACCCCAACCCCTGCCCTTGGCCTAAGCAGGTGCTTTAGACCGCTGAGCCATCTGGCCAGTCTAGTAGTGTTGACTGAGACTGGTTGAATTTGCAGATGCAAAACCTACTTTTGTGTGCAGAGGGCTGAAAGTGTACAATGTGTTTATAAAATCTGTGCTACAAACCTTTTACTACTACACATAATCCAGAGGCATTTTTTGTTTATTTTTTAATTGAGACAGGGTCTCACTCTGTAGCCTTGAACTCATGACAGTCCTTCTGCCTCAGCCTCCTGGATTATAGGTGTATGCCACCATGTCTGGCACCAGGGGCTTTTCCTTGAGAAAAGTCTCAGGCAACCCATTCAGGTCTCTTTCTGTCCCTCTCTCAGACAGAATCTTCCCCCAACAAATATATTCTGCTCTTTAAAAAGTCTCAATTATCAGTCAAAAGTGAAAATTATACAATTACCCACATTTAAAGTTTTAAATTTACAACTCTTACCTTTCCTTGTCTGTTAATCAGAACTACTTTTTGAAAGAAGTACTGGGGCCAGGGTATAGCTCAGTGGCATGGCATCTGCCTGGCAAGAGGTCCTGAGTTTGATTTCCAGTTCCCCAAGAAAGCACAATTATGACAAAAGTGCATTTCCTGGGTTACTGTATGTTTTGAAATTCAGGGGCAAACTTCCTAAGCAGGTGTTTTTCTCCTGACGTGAGTGCTAAGAACTGACTTTGTTGTCATGAGAGTGCGCAGTCCTCCCACAGGCTTAATTGCACCTAGTCTTAGTTGTGGCATGTGTGTGGATGTGAAAAACAGCAAAACACGTAACTCTTTGTGATGTGTGTTTTTCATTTGCAGCCTTCAAGCAAAACAGAGATACCAAATGAGAATTTCTTCAATGTTCCAGCCTTCTTAACTGTCTCAGGACAGCTTCATCTAGAAGTGATGTCAGGGTAAAGAATTTTCTTTTCTCTTTTGCTTATGTTGATTGTGGTTTGGGTGAGAGGGAAACACTGCTTTTTTAAATATTCAAACCTAAAAATTAGCTTTATCCTTAGTCTGCTTGAATTTTCCAAATGTATATTTAGATTGACAATTTGAAAATGTTCAAGTTTCTTATTTAAAAAAGAATCACATTAGTTTGAATTTCCATTTCAGTAAAAATTAAAAATAAAAGATAAACTGAAAAATAAAGGGATTTTTAAAAATAATTATTCTTGTTTTCCTACTTTAACCAGAGCCAGACCACTTAAGAATTAAGAAAGGTGCTGAGTGTAAGGTTTTTCCTTTGACACAAATGAGAGACACTAGAGAGAAAAAAAGCCCTTATCGCGGGCACAGGCGGGCTGCAGGAGAAGGCAGGGACCTTCAGAGGAGGAGGTGGGGCGGGTCTGTACGGAGCTGACGTGGATGTGGAGTTTACATGGGCCGTGAGGGTCTTTCTAAGAGAGGATTGGAGGGTCACTGGTGCGCGTGCCAAAAGGAGACAGAAAGTCTATTTTGGAACTAGAAGAACATGGAAGTTGGTCTGGGAATGACACGTTGTTGTTTTGGGACCCACCACCATGTTGGATCACCTGCATAATGACCTGGCAGAGTTCCGTGTTCTACCACCTAGAACAAATGAAAGAAGTACCTTTTCAATAATTGCTTTAAATAAAGACATTTTACCCTAGATCTGTTGTGAGATACATTAAAAAATCATTTAAGAGCAAATGAATTTTAGCCACTTATAGCCCTCTGAAGAGTCATTGTATTCCTTTTCCTTAAATAAGATTGGACAAGATGCTTTTGTTCTGTATAAATCTTCTGTCCTGTGTTTCGGCAACTAATTTGTCAGTGCTGACCTTATAACTGCTCGATTTTCTATGGGTATCTTTGTTGTCTCATATAGGGATTGCAACTTTATTTTATTTATTTTTTAATATATTTGGTTGTTACAGGGTCTTACTATGCAGCTCGGACTCATAGTGATCCTCCTGCTTTCAGCCTCCCCAGTGCTGGGATTTCGGGCATGTTCCCAGACTCTGTGGCCAGCTCAGCCTGCCCTGGGGGCGGGGCTGGCACTACATGTGGTGCTGGGGATCAAACTGTGGTCCCTGTGCTTGCCTAAGAAGGTGCTTTAGTCCTCTGAGCTATCTCACTGGCCCTGGGATTGCAAATTTAAAACTCTCTCAGAACAGTCAGAATGAAAAGATAGCGGTCTTGGTCCCCCTTGTTCTTAAAGTATGCAGATGCAAAAACTCAAGGAAAGCAATAGAATAAATTGCATGTTTGTTTCAATATGTACTTTTTTGGCAGGATGGGAAACCAATGGTAAAATAAAGATAATAAAGATGTTCTTGAAAATAACATATACTTAGATTATCATCTGATTTATCTTTGAGAAAGAAATGTATTGTCTAATAGTTCCTTTGGGGCCAGCCAGATAGCTCAGAGATTAAAGTGCCTGCTTAGGCAGATACAGGGACTAGGGCTCGCTCCCCGGTGTGCTGTGCTGGCCCCACCCCCAGGGTATACTCAGTTGTCCACTGAAACTGGGAGTTGTGGCACACCCCTGTAATCCCTGTGCTTAGGATGCTGAAAACAGGAGGATCACTGCAAGTCTGATCTGCATAGTGAGACTGTATAGACCCTGTACTAAATGCATTAAAAAAAGAAAAAGGAAGAAAGTTCCTTTGGTAGTAATTGACAGCATTAGCAAGAGTACCATGCACGAAACTGTCATCATAGTGTCTCTGCGATACTGCAGGGTCTGCAGAGCTGGCTGTGGTAAGGCCGCACCAGGCATGTCACGGTTAAGTTTAAGATGCCTGGGAAGTACAATTTTATAAGATGGAACTGTAACTCCTACAAATATAAGTAAACATGTACCAAAGACTATCTAGTTCATTAATTACTGCAGGAATATGAGAAATAGTGTATTTCAGAGCATGTCTGAGAAACCCCGTATTCATAGACAATTAACAGTTTATAGAATAAGATCTCTGTGTTAGTTACAAACTGATCGATGTCCTACACACCCGGCAGACCCTAGCCTTTGGGGTGAGCTCTTTTCCCTGAAAGAAGTCATTTGCAACTCTACTGGTGCCGAGCCTACAAGTTAACATGAAGTTCAATCTGGGAAATTGAGTTCAATAGCAAATAGAAAATATATTCCCCTAAGTCATAAAATAGCATTTGAATGGGTCTGATTCTCCGTATTTTATGGAAACAACAGCATCTTTTTAAAGCTGTACTCCTTAACAGCATTTCAGCATTTGTCAAGGACTCTCCCCATCAGAAGTGTCATGGTGTGGGACACATGCTTACTTCTGTGTTACAGTACCACTGATGTATTACTACACTTCTTTTCCAGCAAAGTGAAGTGAAACACGGAACATACTGTGCAGTGAAACTTGATAGAGGATTAAATTGGTGGAATATTGTTTTATATTTATAATGTGTTATGAGGCACTTTTAATAATGTCAGTCAAATGTTCCTATTTTAATATGCATAGTTCTAGGACAATTAATATACAGTACATCATGTTTCTGATTAATGCATAATTTAATCTCCAGTAAGAAATTGTTGGTCCTCTTTCCCTCAGCTTTGTTTTTTGTTTAATTTTATTTAAAGAATTTTTTTTTTTTAAAAAAAAAGGACTTTAAATGGCGTAAGTGGGAGTTAAATTTAGAAGGCTAGCATTTTCCAAAAGGATGTCTGTGTTAGTTTAGTGGGTTTATGGCTCCATTTTAAACTTTTGGTTTTTTTTTTTTAAATTCTATTTCAGAATAATTTTGTAAAGAATAGTTGCCAAGATAGTACACAGTTTTTAAATACTCTCTACCTAGTTTCCTCACTTTTTGAACATCTTCCATTACTATTGTATATATTTGTCAAAACTTAACAATCTAATACTAGTAATTACTTTAACTAAATTCCATACTTTATGTGGATCTCATTAGTTTTTTCTATTAATATCTCCTTGCTTTTCCAGAATTCAGTTCATGATAAAACTTTAGTGGTCTAAAGTTTTCTAGTCAAATGTTTTCTAGTCGTTGACAGTTTCTCAGTCTTTCTCTCTGGTGACATGGAATGTACCAACACCCTAATCTGGTGTTGTCTGATGTTTTCCTCAAGACTGAACTGAGATTATTTGAACTTTTGGAAGAATACCACAGAGGCAAAGGGCTGTGGTGTTTCAGGAAGTACGTGAGAACACTCATGTGTTACCTTAACTGCGTTACTTGGGTAGAATAGTGTTGGTCAAGTTGCTACTCTGAAAATGTTGACCCCTTTCCCTAATCTGTTCTTCAGAAGTACATCACTAAGTCTAGTCTATAATCTAACCTGGGGTGCAATTTGGGGAGAGAGATTGCATTAACCCACTTAGAGGGAATATTTGAAATTCTTTATGAAAGATTTCACCTTTATTTAGTCATTTACCTTACAGTGGACATTTATTTTGCAGTTTTGGTTATTATTCAGTACTGTTAATTACTTTGTTGGTTAAACTGGTTTAGTCTTAGCTATTGTATATTTGTGCATTTGTGTTATACATTCTCTGTCTTTTGGCAAATGCACGGTGCTGTGTGCTCACCAGTGCAGCATACAGAATGGTTTCCTGCCTTTGAAGTCCTCTCTGCTCCACCTAGTCCCCTCCGATCCCTGGCAGCTGTTAATCGTTTGGTGTCTCCATCGTTGCCTTTTCTCTAATGTCTTGTGGTTGGGACCTCACTGTGTGCAGCCATTTCAGTTTGGCTTATTTTACTTACTAATAGTCATTTAAAGTTTCTCTGTGATGAACTGATAGTCTGTTTCTTTTTAATACTGAATAATATTCTATTAGCCATATAATATTCCTTAATCATTTATCTGCTGAAGGTCATCTTTGAGATTTTCAAGTTTGAGCAAGTTTCTTAAGCTTATTTTTCCTTCTTTATTCCTCAAGGGAGGACTGGACAAATAGCTCGGTGGATTAAAGCGCCCGCAAGCAGGCATAGGGGTCAGGGGATTGATACCCGGGCCGGATGTGCCGGCCCCGCCCCCGGGGTGCGCTGAGATGGCGATTGAGACTGGGTGTATGGTGGTGCACACCTGTAATCCCAGCTCTTGGGAGGCTGTAAACAGGAGAACCACTGCGAGTCTGATCTAGTGGTGAGACCCTGAACACCCTGTAGACCCTTCCCTAACGTACAAAAAATAAAATAAAATAATAAAAAATAAATAAATAGTTCCTCAAGGAACCCTGATTCCTTTTATTGAAGGATGATACTCAGAAACCAAAATTTGGTCATTGCATATGCTTACTACTGCTGGAGGTGGCAGGTTTTGGTGTTTTCTCAACAGACTGAGTTGTAAATATGTACATTTAAAATTATACAAAGATATCACTTCTCGGCCTTTTGGCTGAGATCAAGTGTAAAATTATACAAAGATAAATGTTTGTTACATTCTGCTTATAACCATAATTTTATAAGTAAAAAGTTCATGCTGAGAGAATTAGAAATGCTCTGAATTGTGAAACCTGCACTTGGGAAGTGGAAGAAGAGACTGTTTCTTGTCAGCTGCCACAGTGGCAGAGTGACCAGTCTAACATATATGACAGATTGTTCAAATTACTGTTTAGATTTTTATTATTGCTTGTTTTAGGGCTACAGTTCATTTTTTGGCTTTTGTTTGATGACAAGCCATAAAATAAAGCATGTATCAGGATAAAGCTGCTGCTTTTCTCAGAACACTACTACTGGAGATGTGAACTGCTACTGAGAATTTCACTTTTAGGAATATTTAAGGCAATGATGTGACAGCTGCAAAGATGCTTTAAAAAATGTTGATAGTAACTTACTTTATAATACTGAAAAAATACGGATGCTCTAAATGTCTAGACAAGACACCTTAACCCACAAAATTACTAAGAAAAACAGCCATTACTGTTTATCACATGGGTCTAAAATACTTTGTTTTTGT